ATGTGTTCAATACACAGTATAAGAGTAAAAACTGAGACTTCGTGGTCTGCGAGTAAAACAATTACCACCGTTCTCTCAATATAATCCATGATCTTGTCGCCACCGTGTAGTAATATGCTTACTGATATGTTCAATACACAGTATAAGAGTAAAAACTTATACTAAGAGTATTGTTAATCTATATCACAAAATGGTCGTACGAATGAAAAAATTACAGGCTCAATCACACACAAGTGATAAAATTACTCATAGGTGAATCAAACTAGAAAAAAAATGATTCAACCAAAAATCCATCATGAAACTTGGATCATGGTGGCTTTGTTGGATCTTGTTATAAGAATGGAGAGGTTGGTATGTGTCTTGTGACTGGTAGTGAAGTGGGCAATTGGGTGGCGAGCGGTAGTCGACGATGGAATCATGGAAGGATATAGCGGCGTGGTGAGATAGACTCGACATTGCAGAGTAGCATCCATCCATCATCTAGCAAGCATAAAATAATAGCAAAAACATTCTCGCTCATGTTATAGAGACGACGAGCAAAAGAAAAATAGCAAACAACCTCCATCATCGGCAGACTCCACCCTATCCTCTGCGGCCAGCCACATGGAGCACGATGTGCAAATGTCAGACCTGTGCAGCCCATCAATTCAGAGCAGGTAATATTGGAGATTGCACGTTAATTTGATTTGCAAAAACGAATTGGAGCTTCATGCGTGAAGGTGAAGGAGAGTATGTAGATGCAAATCTGAGTGTCATTTCCTTATTTGCTTGTTCTATCAATGTCGCCGACGTGGAGCAGCCACCAGTTGTTGCTCTTGGTCCAGGTGAACACCTCCTTGCTGGTTTAAGGTGTTGCCTGGCGTCCGGCAAACAAGGCTCAAAGCAGCATCTTTGCCTCAAACGTCGTCGGCCACCGCTCGCCAGCCATCGCCATCAACTGCCATGATGTCGTTGTCCTACTCCATGGTGTGTCACCGATCTATGGGCTAGGATGGTGGATCGATTCAGATCCCAAAAAAAAGGAAAAAAACGAAATAGGGACGAGAATGGTTGGTTGGGTCACTACAACAAATATACCTTGTAGAGACATTTTCGAAATACTATAGAGACATTTTTAAAATGCCTTAACAGTGTTATAGAGACATTTTGAAGAGTGTCTCATAAGTGCCTTTTGGTGTATTGTCTCTACGAACTAAGAGGCATTTTATAAGATGTCTCTATGCAAATAGAGGCACTTTGTAGAGGCGTTAATATGTTGTGGCAAAAAAAAGAAAAATATTATCCCTTACCAATCCTTGAACTCATGACCTCTTAAGTTGCCCATTTTTTATCTTCAATGCACTAACCATCTCAACCTCATTTAATTACATGTAAATATGTGATTTGTGCTACTTATATATATATATATATATATATATATATATATATATATATATTAATATTTGGACAAATGCCTTTACATCGTTTAAAATGCCTTAAGAAAATACCTTTACATATGAGGCAAATTTTAAAGTGCCGAAAAGATATCTCTATAAGATAAATTTAACAAAGTATGCTAAAAATATCTCTAAAGTGTCTCTAGAGTAAAAATATTTTAGGCGATTTTGAAAGTGCCTCTAAAAGTGTCTCTAGACTATAGAGCTTCAAAACTTAGAGGCATTTTGAAAATTGTCTCTACAAAAGAGCCTCTATATAAGGTTTTTGTTGTAGTGGGTACGGGAAAAATAGAATATATATCGGAAGCAGGGAAGTTGTTTTTATTGAAGTAAATCATTTACTCCGATAATAGTGGGAGTAGGATGACGGGATGTGGGGTGGGATCGGAAGCAGGGAAGTTGTTTTTATTATCGAAGTAAACGGTTTTCTCCGATAACGGTGGGAGCGGGATGATGGGACGTAGGGTGAGGTGGGCCTGGACTAGATGTTTGGCGCTCAGAAAACTAGTAACGCGCTGCGCTATTAGTAGTAAATTTTTTAACTAATTTAAGCTTAAATGAGATATATATGTGTATGCAAAAATTTATAATTAAGATTTTAAAGAACTTAGAAATTAGGAATGGTTAGGACTTAGGCTTAGGAATTTCTATGTGTATAAAATTCTAATCTTAGAACTCTTGCTATATGCTCGAATGTTTACAATATAGTTAGACTGAGGATGTAAGTAAAAGGTGCTGGTTGTCGAACCGACATCGATGACTGAAGTCAAAGGTGTCACCTACTGGGTGTCAGTTGGGAACTGGCACCAATCAAATTATTTGTAGTAGTGATTAATTGTTGCATAGTCGCATAAATCTGTGTAAGATAAAGTTGCTACGAATCCGTGCCAACTTTGGGATGGTTCGAACAATACATGCATCGTTTCCTACGCGAACTAGTGGGGTTTGTCTTGTGTAGCTTGTGATCTTCTCCTAGAGGAATCACAAGGCCCATCTGCCTTCCCAATTCCTTAGCTAAAAGCTTTGCCTCTGCTTCTTTCGTCAGGGCGTCAGGCTGCTTCGTTTTTGGCTCCCCCTTTTCACCGGAGATATATAGATGGTGAGGATTGTTGAGTAGAACTTACAAGTCAAGCATTTGTCGTCCAAAACACTACTATCTGGCTCGTGTGGGTTCAATGAAATGGAATACTGAATAGATGAACGTAGGCCTTGTTTAGTTCGCGAATTGAAAATTTTTTGATGTTACATCGGACGTTTGACCGGATGTCGGAATTGGTTTTCGGACACGAATGAAAAAACTAATTTCATAACTCACCTGGAAACCGTGAGACGAATTAATCTTTTGAGCCTAATTAATCCGTCATTAGCATATGTGGGTTACTGTAACACTTATGGCTAATCATAGACTAATTAGGCTCAAAAGATTCGTCTCGTGATTTCCATGTAAACTGTGCAATTAGTTTTTTCTTTTTATCTATATTTAATGTTTCATACATGTGTCCAAAGATTCGATGTGATGTTTTTGGGGAAAAAATTTGGGAACTAAACCGGGCCGTAGTACAATGAATGGATTAATAACTACAATAATAAGTTGAAAAATAGATATAAAATAACATTTTTATGAAATTATATGTAGTATAAAGGTTTTATGAGAATCCCAGCGTTTACAATTCAGGAAGCATACATCAATACATGTTCTTATATTCCATTTTATTGCGTGAAAACGAGCAGGCCAAAACGAGTTAGAGAGTCTATGTTCGGGACAAGCTATGCATTTATCGATAATCACATGCAAATATAATACATTCATAGTGAAACTATATTATAACTTGCATGTATTTATAATATAATTTACATGTAACTTTTAAAAAACCTCGTGTTACTAAGCTATTTTTGTGAACCGGAGGTCGCGAAACCAAATCTGTTCATCCGTGCGGGTGCTTCCCAACTTGCACAAATCTTAGAGTAAATCGAACAATATCATGTGAAAGTTACATACAAATTATTTATAGTTACATGTACTTTACAATTTATTTATATTATAATTATACTGTATTTATATTTGATAAATTTAAAAGAAAATTTATCGATAAATATATAGTAAAATCGGTCAATATATAGATTTTAACTTTCTTAAGAAAAAAATTACCTCGATTTTCACTAGTACTCTTTTTAAACTGCTAGAAAGTGTATTTCATACGAAAACTTGCGTTTAATATAATATAAATCAAAATTTCAAGTTTATATCAATAACTAAAACTCAATTAAGCGTGTAAATGGTTTTCTCGTTTTACGTGCCATCACTTAGTTCTCATTTTCATCACATTCAAACAGAAATACAGTTGCTTCCACACACATGTACGGCGAGAAAGAGATAGGAGCAAAGCTCCGAAAGACAGAGAGGCGCCACTCTGGTCTCAGTACTGCTACCCCACCCCCACACCCCCATCCCCACCCCCACCCCAGCCGATTGCATATGCTTTGCTTATCAACTGTCCGCAACGCAAAACCATCCACGATCCATCCCCCACAAAACGCTTTCGCAGCAGATACACGACAAAGATCGGGATCAGGCGCCTTTCTTGACTAGTACTGTATCCGTGTGGCGTCCCAACCTAAAAGGCCAAAAAAAGGTGTCCCCCAAGCTAACCAACCCAGTAGATCCCTGACTTACAGGCTCATTGTTTTAGCTAGCTAGCTACCTCACATTCCCCCTCCACTAACCCTTGGTTTTCATTAGTAACTTTTAGTAGTAGGGCTAGTAGTACTTGTTTAACATTATCCTTTACAATCACTGAATCACCCCCCATGCTCGGAAAGCAAGTTTACATGAGTACCACCACATACTGTACAATTGTACTTTTGAAAAACCATATGAACATTATGAAGATATGGTGTTACGTTGCAGCTGTAGTTCAGCAACTGCGCACTCGATCGGAATGGTGTAAAAAGCACGACACCGATGTCGTGTTTTTGTTGGATATTTTTTTTCTCCTTCTGAATGCAAAAAGATATGTATTCTCATTAGTAATGAAATCCTGCACAATTTAGTTTTGGTTATTGGCTCCTCTCAATATTAAATTATGTTTTTTTTGCTGTGGTTAATTTATAAGCCAAATACGTACTTCCTCCGTTTCATAATGTAAGACTTTATAGCATTACCCACATTCATATAGATGCTAATAAATCTATATATATAATAATGTCTAGATTCATTAGCATCTATATGAATGTGGGCAATGTTAGAAAGTCTTACATTGTGAAACGGAGGGAGTATAACTGAAGCAAACGGAAAACCGGTAATATTTTATATTTCTATTCTTTGTAGTCTAATTGAAATCAAGACTATAAAATAGAAACTAACATAAAACACCTAAATTAATTTCTAAAATTACAAATTTAATTACTGTGGTTTCCTGCAGCTCAAAGCCTCGCAGACAAGCGACATTTCTTCTGGAATTCTCTACTTATTTCCCCAAAAGAATGAATGCCGATATGGTGGATCTTCTTCTTCAGGTTGGCTGAAGCTGCTGTTCTGTTCTAATCAATGAAGTTCTACATGCCTTCTCCATTGAATGGTGTAAACTTTTGTGATTAATTGGAGGGAAGGGAACCATGTATATATACTGTATGCCTCATGGCGGCTTGCAATTAAATACAGTACCAAAACTGTTGATGTTCCTGCCCAACGCAATAAATCCACCAAAGTAAAAACAAGAGAGACAAGGGGCTCTGAAACCAACTGTTTTACCGGCGAGAAAAAATTGTTACATGCACATGTGTTTCTACTACCGACCACCAAGGCTTGTCTACCAGATCAGGAAAGGCTGCCACACTGGGATCTCTTCTCAGGCGACGGCGGGTCCCAATTGCGACGGACACACACGATGGCGCTGCTCCACCACCGTCAAGTGGATGAGCTGCTGGCAGGTGCCACCCGGATGTCCTTGAGCACCCCCACCACCTGCTGCATCGTCGGCCTCTTCTCCGGCGACTGCGCGGTGCAGAGGTACCCCACCCGCAGGCACTCCACCATCTCCCGCTCCACCGTCGACGTCTCCGGCCCGCCGCCCGCCTCGTCCCGCACTCTCGGGTCCACGATGTCTAGACCCTTCTGGTCGCGGATGATCCCCCGCGCCCAGCTAACTGACGCTTCGTCCCAGCCGGCTTGGCCGGTTATGAGCTCGAGCACCAGCACGCCGAAGCTGTACACATCCCCCTCTGGCGTCGTGTCGCTAGGGTGGCCGAAGTCGGATATCCGAGGCTCTAGGTCTTCGCCGAGGAGGATGTTGGTTGGGACCAGATGACCGTGCACGACCGGCCGACCCGACCCTGCCCACCCTTGGTGCAGGAACGCGAGCCCTCGGGCGATCCCTAGCGCGATGCGGTGCCGGGTCGGCCAGTCGGAGATGGACCGCTTGTCCTCCGCCACCTCCCAGATGTCACCGCCGGTGTCGTCCTCCATGTCGGGCCGCCCTGCTGGAAGCTCGTGCAGCCACCGGTGGAGGTCGCCTTTCTCCATGTACTCGTACAGCAGGAGCTTCTCCTTCCCTGTAATAAATGAATGTATTTGAATTTGAAAAGTTCCAGTGAGAGTACAGATTGCGGAAGAAATTTTCATCTGCACCAATTCGGTGGAGGTTGATTTGTGCACCTAATCTAACTGCTCCAACTATAGGACACACACACGCTGACAGGTCAAACATGCCGTCTACATGTATGGTGTTACTCTACTCCCTAGTTGCAAACTTTATTCTGGCCAAGGATTTTCACACTGGCACTAGGAAATTGAAACAAAAATATAAATATATTTTACATATTTTTAGAAAAATACTTCACTAGTAAACGAAAACGAGTTATATTTAGCCCAAAATATTATGATTGGAAAATATTACTCCAAGTATTGTGCAAAATCTTTGGAAAAAATACACAAATTTTATTTTCTGAAAAATCCAAAAACCAATATCATTTTCTCACCTGCAATGCAGTAGCCAAGGAGCGGGAGAATATTGGGGTGCCGGAGACGTGCGAGGTCGCGGAACGCGGTCGCCGCGGTCGCGGGGTCGTCGTCCTCGCCGACGGCCATGGCGCCGTCCACGACGCGGACGACGACGTGCATGTCGCCCGGGAGCACGGCGCGGTACGCGGCGCCGCTGCGGCCGCCGCGCTCCGCGAGCTGCGACTCGCGCCCGAACCCGGACGTGGCCTCGGCCAGGTCGGCCAGCGTGAGCTCCATCAGCGGCCGCTCGAACAGCACCACCGGCGCAGCAGAACCCCCCTTCGCCGCCGCCGCCGCCACGGCCACCACCTCCTCCTCGTCCTTCCCGCCCCAATGCGCCTTCCTCTTCTCCTCCTCCGCCTCCTTCCCCCTGTTCTTGCGGCAACGCAGCACCCCGCACGCCACGCACCCGACGAGACAGAGCAGCATGGCCACGGACACCACCCCGCACACCACCGCAACCGTGACGACGCTCAAATGCTTCCTCCTGCTCCTCGTCCGCGTCCTCCTCGCCGGCGTCGCGGTATCATTCTTTCCGCCACTTCTATGTGGATGCGATGGCGGCGGCGAAGGCGGCGGTGGAGGCCGCCGCGCCGTCGAGTTCTCGGAGAACACCAGCGAAGTGTTTCCGGAGTGGACGAAAGCAGAATGCCCGAACTTCTTGACGGCGCCGCCGTCCACCACGCCGGAGAAGTTGTTGTACGAGACGTTCAAGAAACGGAGCCCGGCGAGCGGCGGGAGGTCGCCGGGGAACCTCCCCTGCATCGCGTTCCGCGACAGGTCGAGCCGGTTCACCCGCGCCAGCCGCCTCAGCCCCTGCGGCACCGCCCGGATCCTGTTCGCCGACACGTCGAGGACGCGGAGCCCGGCGAGCGCCTCCGCCCCAGCGACGCCGGTGAACCGGTTGCCGGACACGTTGAGCGACTCGAGCCGCGGGCTAGCCTCCACCACCCGGAGAGCCCCACCCAGCTGGTTCCCGGAGACATCGACGTGCCGGAGCGACGGCGCGCGCCAGAACCCCCCGGGGATGGCGCCCTGGAGCGCGTTCCCGGACAGGTCGAGCACGGCGAGGCCCGACAGGTTGGCGAGCGCCGCCCACGCCACGGCGCCCGTGAGGTTCCGCGACGGGAGCCGCAGCTCCCGCACAGCCCCGCATGGAGGCAGCTGGAAGTTGCGCACGCCCCGGAACGCCGCCGCGACGATGGCCGCGTCGCCGCCACCGCCACCGCCGCCGGCACAAACCGAGGGGGAGGAGGAGACAGAGCCAGCAACCACCGACGTGGAGAGAGCCAGCAGGAGAAGGAGGAGGTGGGAGTGGAGTGGCATGGGAGAAGCAAGCGTTAGGGATCCGGAGGCATCGAACAAGGGGGAGAAGCTAACCAGCATGAAGGGAATGGAATAGTGCTACGCTGCTGCTACCGATGAGAATCATGAGATGAGACGATGGTTTAATAGATAGTGACATGACGGTGGGGGTGCCCAGGTGTCGAGTGAGGAGTTGTTGGGTTTTCTTCTCATTGTGGGGGGAGTAGACTTGCTATGGTACTAGCTACTATAGCGTCACCCTGGATGGGGTGGTTCTGGTGTTCTAATTTGAGCTGTGGTTTTGCCGTATCATGATTTTTCTAATAACTTTAGGGGAGTAGCTATATATTTATATATTTATGACGCCATATTTTTCACCAAAAAATAGTCGGCATGTATTTACATTATAAGTTCCTAAATTACATATGTAATTTTAGTGTATTTACAATGTAAGTCTTGAAATTACATATGTAAGTATCTAAATTACATATGTAATTTTAGTGTATTTACAATGTAAGTACCAAAATTACATATCCAAGTTCTAAATTACACATGTGTAATTACTATGTAAATAGAGTAATTATATTCGTTGATGACCAACACGTGTCATGCAAAGCAAAAAGGAGTCGCGAACTTAGGAGCAAGTTGTTCGATCAGCTTATCAGATGTACTTTGCACGAATTATGAAGAAAATTAGATGGCAGATCGTCAAACTAACTGTATTTAGCCCAGAAATATATTGACATAATCTTAGCAAAGCCGTAACTTTAGTTAGATTGTTGACCATGTATGTGCACCCTTTCCATTGAAGGGAAAATTGGTTTGTACGTCATGGAAAGTTCATTTTAACTAGGAAGGTGGCCCTCTCTCACACTTATATTATTGAAAGGTAAGATTACTGTTTGTTCAAAAATTTTGTCTAATAAATTAAGAGCAAACTAAAGTTCGGATAATGTTATTTTATAATAATTTAAGGGTTCTATTTTTCGTAAGGTATCTTAAAAAACAATTCACAAACTTTTGAGTAGGAGATGGATTAAGTACTTACAACTTTTGAATCATGTGTTTTTCTCTCTCGAGTAAATAAGAAAGGAGAAACTATTGCTAGTTAATTATTAGACAGTCCATCTATATCATACCGTGTAGTATAGCCACAAATGAAAAATGCGAGAGTAAGATACTCAAAATTCTTGTGATTAAATCATCTTATGAAGGTGCATGATATAGCAAGAAAGGGAGGGAAGCGTATGCATGGAGAAAAAAGAAGAAAGGGAAAAATGAAAAAAAGGGAGGGGAAGCGTACGTACCCATGTACGTAGGTGTGTACCTGTGCCGCGGAAGGAGAGGTGGGACCTCGTAGTATTTAGTTTGTTGTAAAATCAATTTAATCTAATAGATTATAATATAGGACGTACAGATTATAATATTTAGATACTTTGCTTTTTTATTTCTTAGAACTTCTAATATTTGCTCTAATTTATTAGAGCATCACGTGACAGGTTGAGAGCATTTTAAGGAATTTTAAAGGACTTAACACATGTAATTAGAATATTAACCGCATAATATGTATGTATGGGGCATATGGCAATATTTGTTAAAGCTTTGTCCATGGTTATTGTCGACGGGGGATACCCGTAGACCGGATATAGAGGGTATTAGGGTACGCTGGTACGAGGATCTACGTAATACGACATCAAGCAGGCAGAAAACAAAGATTATACTGGTTCAGGCCCCTTGATAGGTAATAGCCCTAATCCAGCTGATATGGGATTATATGATGGAAACCACAGATTACAAAGGGAATAGTGGAACTCGACGATACCGACAAGATAGTAGTCGAGTTGATTCGACTAGATCACCCGGCGACTTGGCTCCTGTAAGCTCCGGCTTCGTAGGCTGTGGTGAATGTGTTGGCGGTAAGATTCGATGCCTTAGGTCCTCTCGGGGGGTCCCTTTTATACCGCAGGTCAACTGGTCTCCAAGTAGGACTCGGAGACATCGGACCCGATACGATACAATGACGACCCAGTTCTATCCGAGTAAGACTCCTTACATCTGTGAACTTCATAATGAATTTCCTTAACTTATGCCGAAAACGTCCGTATGCGCGCAAGTATACCATATCGATATGTGACGTATATCGAAGGGTAGAGGGTATACCTTACCCGTAACCCTGACAGTAGCCCCCGACTTCTGCTTAAATGAACTTGTGAGACCGATCGCGACTTCTGATGTCGGAGTTGTTGTCGTTCTCGATGTGAGGACCGAGAGACGAGGAGTGATCGACAACGTCGGGTGAAGCTTCAACGGTCATGAGTGAATTTAAATTGAAGTCTGAAAAACTGCCGCGTGTAACGGACCTAGAAATTTCCGGCGGCCATCTCTCTCCTTTCCTTGGAATTCGCACCGTCGGAAGTGCGTCTATTTAAGGGAGTTTTGGGGATCCAATTTGAAGTCCGTCTGTTGAAAAACCTCTCCAGCTTCCAAGCGCCCCTCGTCTTCTTCGCTCCCGCAAAAACCCTAGCTAGCTCATCTCGGTCCTTTCTCCGGCGATCCCCGGCGGCAATGGATCTCGACAAGTCTACCTCCACCAGTGCGTCACTGAAGAAACTGCAGCAGGATGGCGCCCTTCTTGGTCGCGGGACCGCGGAGAGGGAAGTAGGAGGTACTGAACCACAGCCTGTCCTGGGTCGCATGGTTGCGATCGAGGACTTTATTCTCTATGGTTTTCTTCCTCCACCTTCTGAGTTTCTCCTCTTGGTCTTGAATTTCTATGGTCTTTCCTTGCTCCATTTGAACCCCAACTTCATCGCCTTCCTGAGTATTTTTACACATCTTTATGAGGCCTACATTGGGGTAGAGCCGTTTCTTGAACTCTTCCGCTTTTACTATGAGTTACGCTGGATGGAACCCAAAAAGGTGTCCGGGTGTGTTGGTTTCCGACTTCGGGATGGCCTAAAGTCGCGATACATCCCCTTCCAGTGTCCTTCATCTCGCAGTAAATGGCGGGGGAGGTGGTTCTATCTTCAGATAGAGGATTCGGATCCGGTCTTCGTTATTCCTGAGGAGCAACCAGACAAGATTCCATCTTGGACCACCAAACCCGCCTTAACCCCATCCCTCCAATCTTTCATCGATATCATTGATGACCTCCGAGAATGGGGGTTGTCGGGGTATGAAGTCGCTGCCGACTTCATTGGTAGGCGGATCCAGCCGCTTCAGGCTCGAGCCCATCCAGCCTTTGATTATTCTGGGCCAAAGGACGCGACCCGGGTTTCTCCTCGGGGTATTTTCCTTTTTAGTTAAATTGACTCCCTTATGCGCGTGTTCTTCCCGGCTTATTGGATTCTGGTCTCGACCTACAGGCTTGGACAGCGCCACTGTGGAGCGCCGCGTCGGCCAACCGATGATCAGTGGCCCGACAATGGCGAGCAATGTCCCCGTCCCCCTTTGCGAGAAAGGGGCAGCCGAGCGCGACGCTGCCATCAATGTAAGTGTACTCAGCGGTTCTTTTGCATTTTTCTTCCGGGATCGCATTATGACTTCATGAAGCGTAGGCTCTCCCTCTGACTGATATCGTCGGGCCGCTCGTGGACCATCAGGTGGCGGCGTCACTGAAGGAGAAAGTCGCCAAGGAGGCGTCTGACGCTGTTGCTGCCGCTGCCACAACGAGTGGCGGCAACGTTCCGAAAAAGGGGAGGAAATTCTCCTATATGGTCGGACATCGTCGGAAGATGCCCACCCCCTCGGTAAGTTCTCCTGTTCTTTCATCACGTAATCGGAAGATTTTCACCTCACATCAGATCTGTCATGCTTCAGGCCTCGGATGCGTCTCCCCTGCCTCCGTGATTGCAGCGGCTAGTGACGCTCAGCGAGAAGTAAGTGAATGAATTCGAGGTTTCATGATTTCGTCGAACTCTTGCAGTCTGTCTCAATTGCAAACTTTCATAGGGCAGCGCGGGCAAAGGCGGCACAAGACAGGTCTGGAGGGCCCTCCAGCGCGTCTCCTGCTGTGGCCTCGACGGATGTTGTGGCCGTGCCCAGGAGCCGCGAGGCGACACCTAGTAGGCCAGCCAGCGATCTCATGGCTGGTCGTGCTCCGTCGGCTGTCGTCCTCACCTGGGAGGAGCTCCAGGTCGAGATGGGGCGCCTCCTCGAGGCTGGCGCTTGCGGCATTAGCCGCGAGATTGCGGAGGCGAGGGCGGCAGCGGCGTCGTCAGCAAATGAGCGCGCTGACCGGCTGGCGCGCGATTTGGCGGAGGTTCGCGCCCTCCAGAAGATGCGGGAGCTAGTGGCTAGCAATGAGCCATAACGGCAAGGGCTCGAGCACCGTATGTCGGAGCTTGAGAACCACTTGTCGGAGATCCGTGGCTCACTGCGGGTCACCTACACCGGTCTGCACTAGCTCGCCGGGGAGTGCGGCGTCAAGGCCACCATCTCGGTGAATCCCGACGAGTTCTCACTGACGTCTTCGCTTGCGGAACTGGCAACGGCGATGGAGGCGATCCCCTCCAAGCACGCGGCCAGGATCGGAGAGGAGACGTCCAACGGGATCTATACCGGGGCGTGCCATGTCCTTGCGTGTGTGAGGCTGGCGCACCCGGAACTCGATCTGTGGAAGATCTTGGATCAGGGGGCGGCTAGCGATGCGCGCAAGGATGTGATGGAGGAGGTCGACGATCTGGGGGAGTCCATCCTCCCGCTTTTTGAAGAGTAAGATCTTAGCTCTCTTGTACTCTTTAGTCATGCTTTGTAAAACTCTTATTGGTTCCAACTGCCTTTGTGTATGCGGTCATCACCTTAGCTTTCTTTAGCATTGTGATCTTGAGTACTTTGTTGTCGTTTGTAGAGATGTTGATGTCGAGGATGTCCAGCAGCGCGGGCAGCCTGAGTTGCCAGTGATCGTTCCGGCACTTGCGTTCGAGCCACATGTGCCGGGGGGCGATGTAGATCAAAGTTCGCCTATGGAAACGAGCGTGGCAATGACTCCCTTAGGTTGGTTGTCTTTGTTATCATTTCCTTTACCCTTCCGTCTGGATCGACTTGATTTATTGTATTCTCGGGAGAGAAGAGCAGCTTGACTTAATCGTTTCCATGCTGCGCAGACCTCGAGAGTGCGCTCGCTGACCAGGATCGTCGCATCCAATATTGGAGGATGAAGTTTGAGGTTGCGGAACTCGAGAGGACTATGCTGGAAGTGAAGAAGGACCAGGCCGTAGAGACA